CCCCCCCCACCTTATCACCTGAATCTCCTCCTAGAGCACCATTGTGTTCTTTTTAACCAAATATCTCTCAGAGGGGCGTGGGGAGTGGCTCATAATTTTCATCTAATGTAACAGACAGAGAATCAGCACTTTTGAAACGGGGCTGAAACAGAGGGGATTATGGGATGCTACAATGATCTGTTTGGTATTTAGAGCCAAACACTTCAGAGACATGTTTTGTATATATCTGAGATCTATTGATGAAAAACAGTATAATAGGGGACCTTTAATATTTTAATGTAGGAATTAAACACATTTAAAGCATAACCATTCATCCCTTTTGTCAACAATGACAGAATATATAATATAGTTTTAACAAAAAACACATAAAGCTATCTGTAAATAACTGAAGTCAAGTCAGACATGTTAGTGGTGCATTCACCATAAGAGGATCTTCCTGCAACATGTTCAGGAGGTGATCATGTTGATGGATCTGACTCAATATTGATTCTGATAAGATAACATTAATTGAAACATAGCAGAGGTAGTATGAGCAAGCTTAACGGTGAGTCATCTTGGAGGAATCCAAAGGTTAACAAAGACTCCTGGGGCTAGGAAATTGGCATTGAAATAATCCTGGGTTCATTCGGCTCGTTATTTACCATCAAAGTGTTCCCTGCCCAAGAAACTAATCGACAAGATGATTCATGAATTCATTTTTATGCCCAATCAAGACCCTGCCTTCAGCGTGCTGCAACAGAAGCAGCATTTCTGGAGTCTTCAGTCATGTACTTTCACTGACGACACCTGCAGTCATATATCTTCTTGTTCTCAGCTGACAGTTGAGGAACCAGGCTTGTGTCAGTGTCTGATGAAAGATGTATCGCTCCTATTTGTCAATTCCTGGGAGATACGCTCTCTGTCTCTGAAATCTCAAATCAGTTTCTGGAACCCTTGATCCAAGAATTTAAATCAAACCAGAAGGAGGAATCACCTTTCCAGGAAAAGTTTCTTTCATGAGGAGCTGAGATGTGGTACTAATCAAACTGACCCAGTTAAGACCATTTTAATAAAAATAACGTTAAAAAAACGCAATTGCTTTTGACATTGCAAACAAATTGAAATTATTCTTATGGTCAAATCTATCAAGATCAAATATTGACATACAAGGAGTGTAATATTAATGCTATTGACTTATTTGTCCATTTTAGTGGCTAATTGGTTAACAGTAACTTCACCTAAAAACTGTCCTTGTCTTATTTACACAACTCATTTTTGGTGGGTATGAGCAAATGTAGAAACCCACCAGTAAAGAGATTTCTCATTTTACAAAAACCAAAGAAATGTCTGGTTTTAATATAAAAACTACAACATTAATGCATTTTTAACCTCCTGGCTACATCTGTGAGTTTTTAAGAGAGTTCTTAAGTGACTTCCTCCGAAATGACTCTGAAGAGTCATCATTGAAAAGTCTTTCTAGGGTGGAGACAACTGAAGCTTTGATGGCACGACTTAAGCCTCGGGCAGCGAACACGTACAGCACCGGGTTGAGAGCGGACTTGATGTACACCAGGAACAGAGATACGTATACGCCCCAAGATGCTCGGATATACAGTGTCAATCGTTCAGGGCGCCCCACGGCCAAGGCCCGCAGAAACCGACAAATAAAATATGGCACCCAGCAGGTGAGGAAGAGGAGCATGGTGGCAAAGAGCACGTGGTACATTCTGGTCATCCTGCGGGCATTGGAAGGGCTGGAGGATGTCGGTGTCGAGGGCACTGCTTGCTGAATGGTGAGCACAACAGCCAGGTTGCTTCCCAGGAACACCAGCTGGGGCAAGATGAAACCTGCTATTGTTTCTGTGACAAAGAGCCACATGTTAAAGTTCCCGCTCTCCCTGCAATGGAGTGTCCCGTTAACGTCGATCAGCACAGCAGTGTGGAGGTAGGGGGCAGAGAAGATGGTGGCTAACAGCCATATGAGGCCACAGGCCAGAGGAACAGCCCATGAGGGGCGCCGCAGGCGAGCCCACACCGGCTTCAGCAGACACAGGCATCGCTCCAGGGCCACAGCACAGAGGAGGAAGGCAGAGGCGTACAAGCCCAGGCCTCGCAGGAACATGACCAGCCTGCAGAAGACGAGGCCGAACGGCCAGCTGTAGTTGTGAGCCACGTAGCCCAACATTATGGGGGTGCGCAGGAGCAGCACCAGGTCAGCCAGGGCTAGGTTCAGGACATAAATCCTGAAACTGCTGGCAGCACGCGTCTCCTCACAGCTGCCTCTGCGTGCCAGGTGACGATTATGCCGCAGTCCAAGTGTCCAAACCACCAGCCCATTCAGAGGAACGCCAATCTAGAGACACCACGGAAACCAGGCACATTTAGGACGAAAGCCTTAGAGTAACAGACATAATACAGGGAATAATCTTGTTTGTTTTATTTCATTTTACAAAAATATCGACATCACTCTCATGTTATCGAAACATACAGCCTTTAAGCTTTACTTAGCATTAAAAATAACTCCAGGAAATGACTGCCTCTCTCCAAGAAATAGACTCTCCAAATGGAGATGAGCTGATGCGGAACAAGGGAAAGTTTGATATTTTTTAATACATATTAATCGTACAGATATGAGAGTGGTATCATCAACTCATCATCTAACTCTTAATTTAAAAACACATACAGTACATACAAGAATAAGTTTGCAAATCACAGTTTCGTGAGCATGTTGTGTTTTCTCACCTGCAAACTTCCTAATCAACAGATTATCGAAACTATTATTATATGTCCTATTTAGCAGCCCCTTATTCAGTGTTTTCCAGCGCTATGTGCAGTAGTAGTGTACAGTTTTATTAAAGGATTGCTCACCAGGAAGATAATCAGAGTAGCTGCCATTTGGACGCCCCTAACTGCCTCCACCTGCCATGAGTTGCTGGTGTTGGGGCTGATTCCTGCATGGACAGTCCCATTCATATTGGCCACTGAGGTCTTGCCCTGAAACACAGTAAACATTTTTTGATGATACAGTTGCAAAGATTTGTGTTCTTTTCTGAAAGTTGACAAAAAATATGAAATGTCACAAAATTAAAACACCTTTTTTATTGTATGAGTAAACAGACTGATGTCAACATCACACGACAACCCACAGACTTCCTTCCTTATGTTTGCTACGTGTTTCTTTGCTGAGAACCATAACCATTACTACCACATATTTACCCTGAAAACTTTCATTGTCATTCTTGCATTGAATCCCATTTTGTCCAAGAATGGGAGTCCCAACGCGCAATAAGAGCATGTAGCCTCGAATCTTGTTTGGATGCGCAAATAAACTGCATTTGAGGGAGCTACCTTGTGTGGACCTTTGATAATTTTTTTATTTCTGTCTGACATAAAACCAGCCCCTGCGGTTTTTGGATGTGCACGACCTCTATGTTGTCTTAGTCCCCACAATACAAGCATTCACATACACAGACTTGCAGGACTTGTGCCAGGTGTTGTATTAGCAGCAATCATCACAGAGAAAGTCAGCTCCTATATTTTTTCTGCGGCCTCAGGGCGAGCATATGCATCTAGACCGGGCCTGTTTGCATGCAGCTGGAATGAGAACACTCCTGTGTTAATGGACACTCCTCTTTAGCCTCCGCACAGTAGCAGAACCACTTACCTGTGCCTAAGTTACTGATAGCAGCCGTGGTTATCTGATTAAAAGCTGATTTCCATAATCTACATTAACGAATACATTAAGGTCTTAAGATCTATCTCTGTTTGAAAGTCTGTGTTAAAAAGCTGCTTCCAATCATTTGGATGTCAATTTAAAAAAAAATGCTTCTTACCTGCTTTATTTGCCTTGCGTTGAGGAGGAATGGGGCTGGAGATAAAGTAGGAAGGAGTGCCTACTGGTGTTGTAAGAACTCTCTCTCTCGCTCTCTCGCTCTCTGTGAGTGATTGCAACACACACACACACACACACACACACACACACACACACCTTCCTATGAACATATCTATTAAGATCTAAGCAATAGTTTCGATCATAGCAGTCTGCAACCAATGAAAGGTGATTTCCTTTGTGCTCAGACGGCTGTATTACCTGCATGATTCAACAGAACATTAACCTCAGAGGGTTACATACAAAGTTACTCATTAATCTTCAAATCAGCAGTGCACTTGATGCTGTTTCTTCTGGACAAAATACTCCCACACACTTTTAGCAACATTTTCATCATTCACCTTTTTAGACTTATAAGTATGTTTGCCCTAATTATATAGTAGATGGTGAGAGATCAGACAGAAAACGAGGGAAGAAAGTGAGAATGACATGAAATAATGGTCCTCCTGATGTCCTTGGTCAGTAGATGCACCATGATATCTGTTTTCATTTATGTAAAGCTTTTGTGTTGCTATACACTGTTGCCCATAAAGTTGGAATGATTCAGATTTCAGACACCTCCCTCTTTGTATTCCTATTTAATTTTCACTATGATATGCTTGGAAGAGAATGAGCAATAAAGGGTTGAGAAGATATACACTTTTAAAACACATTTTATTCTGACTTTAAGGGCAACACTGTAGTTAGTATCTGGGACACTTTGTGAGAAACTGTATTTTTTAAACACCCTACACAAATATTAAAGGGGACAAAAATAAAAACGAACTTTTCAGTGCTTGTGTGGCAACTGGTGTGAATACCAACCCACAGAATCTGAAATAAGACAACCATATCTGTTTTCTGTGGGATTGTATTATTCAGAAAACATTATATTCAACAAGCTATTGAGATTTTGACTTCCTGTGACTTGGCCTTTTCTGGAGGTGGGCTTAAAGAGACAGGCACTAATACGTAGCATTTCAAACACTTATATTCAGTATGACAGTATGAAATGTATCTTATTCCCTTTGCTGGGCAACAGTCAGATGTATTATATAATACCAGAAAATAAAGAAGGACTGAAGGAAATGTCTTCTTCATTATCAAAGTCCCTATCATAGAAGTTACAAAACTCTGGATCCAGCAAGGTTTGCTCATGTATCACGGTTTGTTTCAACAACTGACTGCTCTGTTGTGATCTGAAGCCTCTATACTTGTGTTTTTATAAAGATGCAGAAGTCGACCTTCGCCACTAGGGGTCAGTGCTGCTCATTTGTTTAACTGAGGAAATCTCATTAATAATTGATGACTTTGGATGTGATTTTAGGATTTGGAGTTTTTCTCAGGAGGCAGTTTTTTGTGAGGACTCTAGCTACATGAGCAGCTGTAAATGGCATATACAATGAATTGGACATTTGCTTCAGTCATTGTAAGGGACTTACATTCATTTGACATGATTGGGACATTTGGTCATATCTAATAATCAATTAATAAAATCCCTGACCATGGAAGCATTAAACATTTGTATCATTGTATTTTTCACTAATATTGGTGATTGTCACCAAACTTGTGTATTGGAGAAGCCAGAATATCAGAATTTGGTGTACATAATGTTCATGTCAATGGTAAAAGTTTTGAGAATTTCAGAATCCTATATTATTACTATCATTAGTGATACATTAATGGGTAATTGCTTTAAAGTTTCAGCTGATAAAGGTTTACATTATTATATTTTCTTTAAACACTAACTGATAGCTTAACCTACAAAATGATTTATTATCTCATTTGTAATTGGTGACTAAAGTTTAAATTGTTTTTGAGTTGAACAAAGTATCAGTAAATTGAAATGACATACATACATAAATACTTTATACGTTGAATTAGCAAAAAAGGGACATTTAATTGTTATAATATTCTTAGTATTTGTGGTTAGTTTAATCTGTTGATGTGGATTTTCGTTAAAAAAAAAAGAAGGAAAAATTAGCTTATTTAACGGAGTTTTTGGAATTGAATCATAACCAGCTCACCCACACTTTCTTTTAACTTGCTAATTTTAGCTGCAGGGGTTTTAGTCGGGGAAACCAACGCCTTGCTGTGAGAGCAAGGCTTTCTGATTTTTTACTCATAGTGCTTCTCAGTCGTTTCATTCTGTTAGGAGTGAACATAATCGATACTTTTGGTCTGAAACAGTTGTTAGGAATAATGTTTATAATAAACTACATATCTCCGACACATCTTCGTCACACTTTGAGGACACGCACAAAGCACAAAGAACGGAAACGCTATCAGATCACATCAGCTGTGGGTCTGCCCACGTGGAAACACTGAGCTCTGCTCAGAGAACGTTTTTTAAGATATGTTTGCTCTAAAGGACAAGCATTCACGCTTTCATTTCTGGTTTCCACAATAGCAGCTTAACAAAGAATTGAAAGTACACAAGGTTATGATTGGTGTGATAAAAGCATTTCTGACAACTTTTGCCCTTTCACCTGAATTTCACAGGAAGATTAGCATCTGATTTGCCCTTAACATTAACATATGATGTCAGTTCCTCTTTGAGTAGACAGGAACACTGTAACTGTCCCTCAACATTTAAATTGATAAATGTGTTGATAAAGTATCTTCCTCCATAAATGTGTAATCTATAAGAAAGAGACAGAAAGCCAGACAGAAGAAGTGACGATTGTGTCTGAAGTCTCCCCAGCTGGCATATTACACCTTGTGAATTTCCATTTCAACTAAGGGAGGGTCCCTGCTGCCTCTGTGTTTCTTCCCCCACCTCCTCATGTTCTTTCAACATTTCCCTTCAAATTCAACACAGTCAATTTGTATTTTCTAATATGCCACCTCTTTTACATGCTTATAGAAATTATACAGTGGAGGAAATAAGTATTTGATCCCATATATACACTGTAAAAAATGGCTGTGAAATCCACAGTTATTTACAGCGTTTGTGCACAGTAAATTACTGTATACCATTTTAGAGTATAATACCGTGTTTCGAACCAAAAATTACAGCAACTCTGGAGTTACTGTAGAAATAGCAGTAGTAACGTCCCAACTGTATAAAATCATAGTAACCAACAATGTACTGTATAAAATCACAGTAACCAACAATGCACTGTAGAAGATCACAGTAACCTACAATGTACTGTAGAAGATCACAGTAACCAGCAATGTACTGTAGATTATCACAGTAAGCAACAATGTACTAGAAGATCACAGTAACCAACAGATGATCACAGTAACCAACAATGTACTGTAGAAGATCACAGTAGCCTACAATGTACTGTAGAACATCACAGTAACCAACAATGTACTGTAGAAGATCACAGTAACCNTTTAACTGAACAATAACTCGAATTAGTTTGTTTCACTCTTGACCAGGGTACCAAATCTCTAGCAGACTGCTGCCAATAAGTACATAATTATAACTGTCTCATCGATGTTTTCTGAATTTAATATGATAATAAACAACATATTATTCCATCAGCTTCAATCCACTGTGTATGAATGCAGCGATTACCATTCTGTTCGGCAAAACGCCCACAAACTGATCAAGACCAAAGCTTTAGTGCGTTTTGTCAAGGCTACTACAGCCAGGGAATTGACGAGTGCTCCTTCTCTGTCATCTTAGACAGTTGATATAAAATACCTCGTACCTTCCGTGTACAATGTACCTTCGGGTGCTGGATGGCTTCTCGTTTGCGTCCGTCCAGTCCAAATGAAATCGTCCGCCAATAGTATTTCCACGCCTGCGCGGCCAGCGCCGGGGAGGGGGTACCAGGTCGTGTCGTTGTGGTGCATTCCACTTACACTCGACATAGTGATTTTCTTCTCATTAAATGTCCGATGAGCCAACGACCACTACCCAGTGCCTGAATCATTACGAAAGCTGAGGGAATCCTCTTTCCAACACAGTGTATACAACTCAAAATGTGTCTTCGGGTCAATGCGACTGATTTCGATAGAGAAAGTCACATATGAGGTGATCCCCGAAAATCCTTGATCGTAAAAAGTGGATTTTATTTAGCTTTTTTCCACGGACCACCTGCCCAAAGTTTGAGAACCGCTGCTGTAGATGTTCACAGTAACCAACAATGTACTGTAGAAGATCACAGTAACCAACAATGTACTGTAGAAGATCACAGTAACCAACAATGTACTGTAGAAGATCAAGGTAACCAACAATGTACTGTAGAAGATCACAGTAACCAACAATTTACTGTAGAAGATCACGGTAACCAACAATGTACTGTAGAAGATCAAAGTAACCAAAAAATAAAGAACCAACCGAAAAACCCCATTTATAGCTAAAATATCTTAAATAAACCAACATATTTTTCTTAATATATATAATCTTGATGCAGTGTAATTACTAGTTTGGCTATACTAGATATTTTATATACTTATTAGATATATTTGTAAGACCCTATGTCTTTGCAAACTGGAAGAACTACAAATGTGGTGCTGATTTATACAAAGAATGTGTCTTGGCATTGCCCCTTAATTAAAAACGCAACACAGAGGAATACAAAATAGACAAAAGTAAGGAAATAATCATCATTTGTATTATTATTGTTGCGGCTCGAAAGTAGACGAGAATAGCCGATTGCAGCTGGGGGAGGTCTCAAAAAGCTTGCCTGAAGTCGGACAGCTCGGAGTCGACTTGACTCGGTTTGCAATGGCGGGATTTGCGTTGCCGTTCTTCGTTGCAGATGAACAATTATTATATCACTACAAATGAATGACTCAAGTGTCTGTTCATTTTAAAACAAATCAATACAAGGGGGGTTGAATGTCATGTAAAAGACATAAAGACTTATTACTTTGCAAAACTACTTCCGTCAGTGTTCTTGACCAGTTTGCATTTATAAAGAATGCACAAATGTGTTTAATCATTAATGTCAGATATGTACTAAGTAAAGTCATTTGTTCCTGCTCAAGATTAGATTCAACTTTATTGTTATTGCACAGATTACAGGTACTTAGACAACGAAATGCAGTTTATCTTCTAACCAGGAGTGCAAAAAGCAGTAAAGTGAAAAGTAATGTACACAATCTACAGAATAAC